TAGATATAGACAAACTACTTTTAAAATTTATATGGAAAGGCAAAGGAACTGAAATAGCCAAAACAATTTTGAAAGAGAAGAATAAACTTGGAGGAATCGCACTACCTGTTTTAAGACTTACTATAAAGCTACAATAGTAAAGACAGTGTGGTACTGGTGAAGAATTAAATACACAGATCAATGAAACAGACCCACACAAATATAACAACTGATTTTTGACAAACGCTAAAGCAATTCAATGAAGAAAAGACAACCATTTCAATAGTTTTCGAGCAACTGGACATACTTATGGAAAAAAAAATGAACCTCAACCTCATACCTCATAGAAAATTAACTCAAAATGGATGCTAGATCTAAATGTAGAATGCAGAAGTATTTATTGAGCATCTACTCATACATGGCTCCACACACATGGGGCGCACCCTGGTTCTCAGTCAGTCAACACCCCCACACAAGTTTTCCTTTCTCACCCTACAATTGTTCTCTCCAGGAGCCTGTCCTGACCACCCACAGTGTTTCAGATTGGCATCAGAAGCCCACCCTTGGCTCAAAGACTGCCATCATTTATCCATCTTGCTTCCTTCCCTCTGCCCTGAGTCCTTTCCTCATGTCCTAGTCACTTAATTATCCCACTGCCTTCCTCTCCTTTCCAGTGCTATAGACCCTGGCTTAGAATGCCTCATTACTTCCAGACTGCTCAATTTTTTTCTACTCTCCATTAAAACAAATAAACAAACAAAACCACAAAGAGAAAAAACTCTTCCGGGGCGCCTGGGTGGCTCAGTCGGTTAAGCGTGGCCTTCAGCTCAGGTCATGATCCCAGGATCCTGGGATCGAGCCCCACGTGTGGGGCTCCCTGCTCAGCTGGGGGCCTGCTTCTCCCTCTCCCTCTCCTTCTGCCCCTCTCTCCCCTTGCTCGTGCTCTCTCTCAAATAAATAAAATCTTAAAAAAATAATAAAAATAAAAATAAATTTTAAAAAACTCTTCCAAGAAGTCTTTACAATTAAAAGAAGTTTTATCCCATACGGACACATATTTCCATGACTTTTCCCTCTATTTTTACTTATACAGACACAATGCTTACATTGTCCCCATTTATTGATTTACATGCCTATTCAGAATTTACACTATTTTGTGCATACTTTATACATTTAGGATACGCACTGTCTGTCCCTGACTATTCAAATTGGGATTTTCTTTTATTCCTTCTAGAAAGCACCTATGCACAACACAACATCTAGTTAGACCCTAAATATATAATTATCTACTGACTGAAATACACTCAAATTAAATAGAAAGAAGCAGGTCTCTGCTTGAGGAACTCACCCCTCGGGGCTTCCTGACAGGGTTGGCTCATTAAAGCTGCTGTTTCAGGAGGAGGCAAGCACTGTCCATGTCTGTGACCCTGGAACCTTGTCATTTAGAGTCAGCTCATCCTGCTAGACCCATTTTCTGAACTGCCAGTAGGGAGGAGAAACCATAAGTGGAAAATGAAAACTCCCAGAGACAGTTACCAAAAGGCATCCTCTTAAGAGCTGAATGCTGAATTTGGGGAGTGACAGAATCAGGAACAGGCAACATCAAGTATTTCAGCAGTGATGGTGTTAGTATTTTACAGATACAACGAGGGGGCTCATCTTGCCCCTCCCCCATCCAAATAAAAAGAAGAACCAATGGAAGTCAAGATAAAGCGAATTTACTGTTGATTTTCACTTCAAAGAAATTCCAAGGGAAACTACCTGGGAGAGCTTGGGCAGGAGAAAATAGAGCCAAACTCAGTTCTAGATTCTGAAGCAAAGCCAGACTTGGAGGCTCGTAGAATATTCCCTCTGGCACTGCTCTTGTTTTTTCTAGTTTCTTCCAAGTTCTGAACTCTTTTAAAACCCCAAACCCTTACTTGGAAGTCAGAATTCACAATTCAAAGACAGAAATGGATTTTTCAAGTTCTTTTTGAAACCTCTTCTCTTTGTTTCCTTGAGCCTTTTGAACTTTTCTCTAGTTTATTAGTAGCAAGTGGAACGTCCCCCAAACAAGAAAATACGCGATGAAACCTTGCTATAACATCTTTCCTTTTAATGTTTTTCTACCTAGATCATGCGGTATGAAAAGTCCCAGCTGAAGATTTAGAAAGCAATGTTGCCGCCACATCAAATTTTCACGCATGAAATCTTCAGAGAACTTCCTATCAATAGGAAGAAAATTACAAAGAAAATTTCACCACGTCTGAAGTGGCCCATCTAGAGGCAAGAGAGCGGTCCCATAAGTCTGAGCTGCCTCCGAGCACCTGATGGCCAGTGAGTACCCTGGAGTGGGAGCAGGCAGCTGCGTGCCAGAAGAAGGGGCTGCTGCTCACGGGGCTACAGAAATTTGGGAGAAGCCCTATCTCCCGATGACCCTGCGCCTCCTGACTTCACACCCCACGTTTTTTTAACCTTTTCGGTATTTGGGGATGTACAACATGAACAGGAAGGTGGGTACAGGAAACAGGAAAATGTCAACTGGATTACTCTCTCTGATTTTATATTATGGTTTCACACAGAGACACACAGAGGCTAATCCTCTCAACCTCATTAAGAGATTAGACCAAGAACCAATACTTCTGTTTTATAAACACTAATGAAGGGATTGTTACCTGCCCAGCAGCCCAGAGAGGAGGCTGATTTAAACAAACAGGAATGTCAGCCAGGAGCTCTCTGATGCCTGCCTTTGAAAGCCAAGGGCTGCAACAGTCTAGCTACCAGGAAACCTCAACTTAAGGGAACAGGAAATCTTAGATAAAGAAAGTTTCTCTTTGCATTTTAAGATCTCCTCTCTCTTTTGGAAAATAAAAGTGCTATTGTGAAATAGAATGCATGTACAGAAAAGTTTGCAAAACATGTACAGCATAACAGATACTGTAACACATAACCACCATGAGGACCACGAGCCAGAGCAGTGCCAATATCCCATAGAGTTCTCTTCACTCGAAACTGAGGAGTCCAACAATGGGCCTCTTTTCAAAGTCTGGGGCTAACAGCCTCCCAAGCTTCCCAACTTTGGTTTTTTTCCTTCCTCTCTGTAGTTCATCTCCTAAAGAAGTTTGTAAAGTAACTACCCATATATCTATTTATGCTCATTGAACTAGTGACCCATTTAATTTTAATAAGACAAGAATTTAAGGGTTCAAAACAGAGTAAAAAATAAAAATAAAAACAACCAAGAAAATGGTTTCTCATGCACTGACAATATCGGCATACTCTTTTTAAAATGCCAGGATGTGAGGGACCTTGCTTCCAGCGAGAATGCTGAGATGTACAACCACATCTGCTTTCATAAGAGACATGTGCTGGAACGAGTATTTACAATTTCAGTAAAAATAGCACGAACTATTCCTGTCCAGTAAGGTTTTCCCACCTTCAAAGGCTGGAATATACTAAAACCAAAAAATATAGAATATGGATGTTTTAAAACTTAGAATCTTAATTAATATTCTGACCTTCAACATTGGATGCACAATCTCTTAAGAACTGATATTTGAGGGTAAATATCATCATAAGGACATAAATTCTAGACAGAAAAGTGAAGGTAAAGGAAAGTTCCCGTTGCTTTAGGGCAAAGCCATTTTATCTTTATCTCCTCCTTGCTGTCTAAACGGTGTCTTATTATTAGAAGCTGTTCTATAAATGTTGATTGAAGGCATTTTTATATGAATAATTTCAGAAAAAGAAAACAGAATCATGCTTATTAGTTTTGATGTGTTTTTGTGGCTTCTAAATTATACTCAAAATGTGGAGAAAATAAAACTTAGGATTTCAAAAGAAATTATCATATACCATATCAACTCAGGAATACAAGGAAGCTTGTTAGGAAAATATGTTTGTTTCCAGTCTTCTTTTTCACTTTTGTTTCCTCCAGGAGGTATGGAATGCAGTTTGAAGGCAAGATTCACAAAGAGTTACAAGACAGGAGGAAAGCTCTTTCAGGGAAAAGCAAAAAGCAAAAAGCATTAAAAAAAAAAAAAAAAAAAAGCAGAGGCTATCTCTTTGTTCCTGTTCCTCCCCATTTAGGCAATCAAGGGCAAACACAAGGCTTGCTGCAGAAGTCTGACTTCTTGCATCGCGCCACCTAGTGGCCCAGGCTGCGAAATTGTTTTTATTTTGCCAACCCCTGAAAAATTGGAAATTCCAAAGTTGTGAACAGATTTGACAAATCGTTACTCATATTTATGAGAGAGTGTAAATGCCAACTGACAAGTCATTTGGACAGATCTCACTTCAAAGAGTACATATTAGGGGTATTAATAATGGGTGTATCTTTGCCCCTGCACATAAGTTTCCTGATAAGACCTAAGTGTCTGGTGAGGGAGCCCTGCTCACATCTGGCCACTCTGAAACAAGTATTTATAATTTCAGCAAAAACAAAACAAACTACTTCTGTCCAATAAAATTCTCCCACCTTCAAAGGCTGTAATACATTAAAACCAAAAATAGATGTTTTAAAATTTAGAAGCTTGATTAATATTCTGACCGTCAATGTAGGATGCACAATCTCTTTAGAACCAAGGTTTGAGGGTAAATATCTTCATAAGGAGATAATAAATCAAATCCTGGCTCTGCCCAAGGGAGGTGTCTGGAAAGAAAGGTGGAGGCAGCTTTCTCATGGGCACCCTACTATTTTTGTTTAAAGAGCATGTTTGAAGAAAGTTAAGAACTGGTTTCAACTTTCTTCCCAAGTTAAGATGAAGCAAAGGTTGTAGACTGTGGCTTTTTTCTTAGCCAAGTTTTTCATTCCTCTGCATGTTGCTAAAAATCAGACCTGGCAGCCACTCCCTTTTAGCATAGAAAGGCCCCAAGCTAGACATGGGTGCCAACGATTTCAAGAGGGAGTGGGAAGAAAGAAAAGGAAATAATGAACAATGACAAAGAGGCTTCTCCTCCAGTTTTCATAAAAGCATACCCACAGCTGTTTCCAGACAGACCCTCAGCACATAACGCCCTCGAGAGGAAAGTTGTGAGAAGACCTAGTGGGCTACTCGGCCAAAGGTAGCAGATCCCAGGTTGACCAAATGGGAATCTATTTGGCAAAACAGCAAAGACAGGGAAGTTCTGTTCTTTGGCCCTAGTTTTCTAATTCTTCTCATAAGAACTGACAGTGCAGCTAAACAGAAGCCATTAAGCAAAACGTGGCTGTGAGAGGGCAAAGGCCAGGCATGCAGGCCATGATGGACCTATTCTAAGTTGGTTAGGAGAGTGGGGGGTGGGGTCACTGACTGGGTAGTGAGTTGGACCAGGTGACCTCTGAGGACCCCATGACTGGATGACCTTTGGATTCCCCACATTCCCTTCACTTAGAATCATATGTGAACAGAAATAATCTTCCCAAAAAAATTCTAGGTAAACTGAGACCACCCTAGAGTGCTTAGCATGAATTAATGATAACTTATGGTTTTATAAATGGAAGAATGGAAAGAGGCAAGCAGAGAAAATGAGAAGTCTAAAAGTTAATGTTATAAAAAGTGTGTGTCTGTGTGTGTGTGTACACAGTGCATATACACTGATGATGTGCAATTAAATTGCAAAAGAAACAATCACTTTCCTTTGCTTGCAGTTGGATAGACCTGTACCCCTGCTTAAAGTTCCACATGGTAGGAGTACCGTAGTCCTGGCAGTATTGAGACACGAACAAGGAATCTCCAGCAGTGCTTGTGGAAGCATCAGGCCCAGGGAGGTCGGGGGCTCCACATACCTGTTTTGGTCAAAGGAATCGAGAAGAGTTGCTGCACAAGCTTGTTTTCTGACGTTCTCAGGACCACAACCACATCAGCAGGGAGAGTGTCTCTGTTTTTCTCAAGAACCCCAGAAGCATCGTATAATACCTGCAACATGAACAGCAAATAGCAAACTAGCTGATATCACCCATTGCTGGCGACACTGGCAAGCTGTCTGAGGTCAGTCATTCATCGACCAGTGTAGAGACTTTATCTTGTCACAGCCATGCCTCTAAACGCAGACCATGAGATAAGGAGGGAAAAACTGTAATTTTTGACAGGCCAATTTATCTTAACTTCTTGTTCAGGTGCTCTTTGAAGAAAAGAGGCGTATCAAAGATATATCATGTGAGAATAACTATGAAAATAAACTGGGCACTATATATTGGTCACTCTGCATAAAGCACCTGTCCTATACGGTAAATGCTATTAACTATCTCCGTTATACTGGTGGGCAGAGACTCAGCGAGAAGCTGAGTGATATTCTCATGGTGACAAATCTCACAAGTGGCAGGCAGGCTTCCAAACCCGGGCAGTTTGGGCTCCCTGCTCATAACCACTGTACTGTCGTTGCTCCCCAAGGTACTCACGGCACATGAGTGATGGCTCAGGGATGCGGAGCCATTTTCAGTTCTCACAAGGGAAGGGATCCAAGTCAGAGAAATTTTAAGGAACATGCCAGAGAAAGAACGAATTCAGGAAAGGACACTGAGCCCAGAAAGAAAACAATCCTTTTTTCCCCCTTAAAATCAAGAAAGGAGAAGAGAGAGAAAGGGAAGATGGGTGAATAGGAAATTGGTGGAGAAGGACAGAGAGACAGAAAGGGAGGTGCAAGGAAGAGGACAGGAATGGGGGGCGGGGCTCAGGATAGACGCGGGTATCCCAGATGTGGAGGACATTAATATATGGTCATGCATCAGTGCTAAGGTGAATGAAGTATTTAAGGGTAAAAACTGGGTTGCAATTTCTAACAAAGATCCAAAATAGATAGTATGCACTATGTGGAGAGAAAAATAATCCTCTTTACTTATATTAGAATTGCCCTCCAACTAACCTCCAGTCAGGCAAAATTAATTTCAATACCATGATATGAATATAAAAAATACTTTCAATAAATCTTAAATCAACAAAATAATCCCAAATGCCTTTTGTTGAACTCCTACCCTTTTTTTGGACCCAGGTCCTCAGCAGACCCCACCAGAACCAATTAGCCATAATTCCAATGACTCCTTTGAGAGTAACTCGAGCAATGAGTTGTTGGCTGTAGAACCAGAGAATTTCCTGAATTAGTCACCACTCTGCTTCGGGAACTTGAAATGAGACTGAGACGTAAGTTATGAAAGGTGGAAATTTCAGTTAGTGTTATAAAAGCTTAACATCTGGATGATGAAGTGAATTTGTTTCCCTTTTTATCTAGACATTTTTGGTGTCCTGTAGACACATATAGTTAAAGTGCTAAAAACCGAGCCCCACTGTGATATTAACCCTCCTCTGTTAGCTACACATTTCCCAATGACTTCAGAATGTGCACATTCACGGCTAACCACTGTGAGCGCTATACTATGTTTTCCCTCCAGAGAGCTGTCACTTCCAGGCCAGAGCTCAGGTGAGCGGCAGATGGCTACACCACGGCCACCCCAGCAAGAAGTGGCTTTCTCGCTAAGGGCGACTTTCTGTGAGCAGCACCACTGAGAAAGTTTGGGAATTACAATTAGGTGTTCGCAGAGAATTAAAAGGAGAAGGAAATCTGCAAGCCATTTTGTGAGCAGCACCGACAGGGTAATATGGACACCTACCCTTGTCAAATTCAGGTTTACTGACACACACTTGCCTTACCTTCCCAGCGTAGTGCAGAATGCCAAAGCACAGCTCCACTCCTTTAGGCCTCCAGAAGTATTTGCTTCGTAGATTATCTTCAAATTTATCTGTGTGGATTGTCATGTTTAAAAGTTACAATGAGAACTGCTGACTCCTTCAAACAAAGAGGTGCTCCTTGAGCCAGGAGTGACCCAGAATAAGGGATATTGAGGGCAGCCTGATGTTATCATTGTAGGTACAAAGATGGAGAAAAATGCCCCGTTGACATGAGCTTACAATCAAATTTTGTTTAGTTGTTTCATGTTGTCTTTAGTGTCAGGCTATGCCCTAAGATCTCTCATTCTCAGAACTCCAAGCTTGGACACTGATGACACCAGAACTCTGGCCAATCAGCTTTAGAACCATGAAGATATCCCATGGAAGGCAAACAGCCCTGGTATAAACTTATTGTGGCAACTTCTGATGACTTTATAGGTAAAAGGAAACCGCCAAGGGTGACAATTTCAACTCCTAGAAGGGACTCTCTCCCACCAATCAATTTCCTATCTGGGGAAAAGGCTTGAAACTTTCTGTTCTTCCCTCAATAACAATTTTTGCTATTGTTGTAACTGAGGGCCTACTCTGTGTGAAGAACCATGCTAAGTACTAAAGGGATGCAAAGACTGGGGCTTTGTTGCTCTAAATACCTCACAATCTAAGTGAGGGATGAGATGGTGTGCAACACTGAAGATTAGAGAAGGTCAAGAGGAACAGGGATAGAGTGTAGAGGGCCTTTAATGCCAGGAGGAGGTGTCTTATTGGCATCCTATAGACAACAGCAACCTAATGAAAAGGTGGCTTTAAAAAGACTAAATTAGCTGGGATGTTTAGGGTAGAGGGGATAAGTATGAACCTAGAAGCCAGGAGACCAGAAGGGTCTTCTATACAAACCTGGACTAGACATAGGTGGGGTCCAAGCAAAGATATGAGAGAAGGGTATGAAAAGGAGGGGAAGCAAGAGCTGGTTATAGGAAATAAGGGAGAAGAAGGTATAAAACTGATATTGGCAGCAACAGGAAAGTGAGGAGGGCTTGGTGATGGGTTTGCTTCCAGACACAAATCTATCAGGACATTTGCTGAAGATTTCAATTCATTAAAAACAGAGTCTATACTTGCATAACCTACCAGGTGGCCAGAATACCAAGTTAAAATACCAATGAACCAAGTTCTCTCCTGAGTATATTATGCCTTTTCCAAGAGACACTCACCAACCAGGGTCTGATCAGTTGCTTGGGGAAATCGACTTTCCTCATCCAAAAGCGCAAGCAGTCCCAGGGGTTTCTGGAGGAACATGTCCAGGAGTGGGCGATTGTCCTCATACGCCACGGGGGTAGCATCAATGCCTTCATTCTGATATTCCGTCTGGAGGGAAACAGATTGTGAGTCTCTCCAGCCCGACCCTGGCCTGGGTAGCACAAGGCTGCTTCAGCACGCACTTTCTGTATCTGGCAATGCTGACTGTATGTGGCAAACAGGCAGTTGTATGTGAGTAAAAGACTCTTCTGCATACCCCACTGTTGAAGCTTGGGTTTGGGTCTGACCTACAGGCAGCCTGTGGCAGACAGCTGAAGCAGCCAAAGAAGGGACAGTGTTGTCTCCCAAGCACCAAATTGGTAAGTCGTGATTTAGAAACTGACATGGAATTGAAGGGAAGCTGAAAAAAATTATTTTGGTGATAAATATGGCTTAAACCAGGAAGAAAGCAGACTTCTACCTTCTACAAAGGATTCTGCAAAGGGAATCATCTCAGACTGGAAAACTAGAAAACTCCAGACTTCCCAGGGAAATGAATGCAAGGAGCCTTGAGTGAAAGGAGGTCGAGTTTTGTACAGGGTGGGAGGGGAGGAGGAGGGTGATACAGGTTTATCCAGTTCCACTGATAAAACCAATACTGATATTTTTACTCCATATCTTTGTGTTTATGTAATCACGGTACAGTGTGTGTGTCTTCACTTCTAAAACAAAGGGCCCAGTCAGAATGTTTCATTGTTGCACTACTTCATACACCATAAAGTCTTGGGGTTGGAGTAGAAATTGGGGTGGAGGGGAAGGCCTCCTAGCCTTTGGCCGCATGAGTGTCACACCCTGTTTTATTTATCATTAAACTCATAAGGGAAAGACTTCCATTTGGAGAAAACCAAGAACATAACCTACTCCTCCCTGGAGACATCCCCACTCCCAAGTTACTGTGGGATCTGGTGTGTAGGGGCGGGGGTGGGAATGGCCTATTTGGGAGTTAAGAACAAGAACCTGTGCCCTGAATTCAAGATCATCTTGTGTCATGCTGGACACAATCACAGATGCTTTTAGTCAAATAAAGTAGAAGAGAACGTAGCATTTTGGACAATGTGATGAAATAGTTTGGAAGCAACATTTAAATAACTGGCTTGTCACCAGCTCCACTCAAGTGAGGAAATGTAACTTTCCATAGAAATCAAGACTTTTTCTCTGGCTAAATTTACGCTATTTATTTTGACAGGACTGTCTCACCAGTGGTTTCTCCTTAGGATCTTTTACCTGTTAGCCTAACAGGGTTCCTGCTTCAAACTGTGGGCAGCTTGGAGACACCTTACCCATCAGGTTTAATTACTTCAGAGTTCACTATTACCTGTTCGAGAGCGAAAACATGCTGGTTGAAATAGTACTGGATTTGCTCATTGGCGATGTTTATGCAGAGCTGTTCAAATGAATTTCTCCGAAAGTTCTCGAATCCAAAAATATCCAAGATCCCTACATTCATACCATCATCTGCATTACTGCATGGGAGAGAAGAAAACAGCCTTTTAGGGAAGGCAACATTCATCTCAAGATGATGAAAATATATGTGCCCATGTGTTTACCAATATATGCACCCACTTACAGAAAAGCAGCATTCAGCTGCCTCTAGGAAGAAACAGTTTGTGTCTTAAACCATTCATTCCTTCAGTCTCTCAACAGTATTTCCAACTTTTTTTTTTTAAGCAGTAGAATCCTTTAAAATCTCACTCAGAAGCTCCAGATAGAGATTAGAGAGGAACCACTCTGTTCGAAGAGGCTAGAACTGCTGCCCATTCATTCTTCGACCTTCCCACCCATTAGGCTTAATTGGAAGAATATTCTTTAGAATTTGATGCTGTCAGTTTTTCCAGAATATAGAAACCACTAATGCTTAGGAAAGAAAAGTAGTAGTAGCAGCAATAATATTATAAGATCCCGTGCTTTAAAACTTTTCATGAAATGTCTCATTCTAAAAACAACCCTATAAGGAGGATATTATTATCCTCATTTTACAGAGGAAAAAACAGTGACTTAGAATATGGGGGCTGATCAAAGTGTAGAGGTGAAATGCAAACTCAGTTTGCCCAGCTCCCATTCAAGCCTGTTCTCTTAAACACTACACTATAATAGCTCTGTCAGTCATGTGCCTTTTCCATTCTCCTGGATCCCATTCTCCTTTTAGAGGAAAAGACCTGAGAGCTTCATTAAAGAAAACTCAGGAGAGGACCGAACGCTTCCTCTTGCAAACTCTGAGAGACATCGGGGTCGCTGACAGCTCTCCCAAGGCCTCTGCTTCCTGAGGGAACTTGCCATATGTTTCCATCTGGCTGCAGGAGTGTATTGATGCGATTGACAATCCAACTGAAGAGCCTCCCATACAGGGCTTTGGACATGGCATCTCGGACATCCACAGCCCTGTCGACAGTATTGGCTTGGACGATTGTCTCACCGCGGGTGACCACACAGTGTGAGATAAGGGCCTCTTGGAGTTCTTCGGGGCTGATGCAGAGAACGGAGGCAGCTGCAATAAAAGGTAAGGATGACACCAGAGAATGTAGTCATCCATCCATCCAGCCAGCCAGCGAGCCATCCAGCCAGCCATCCATCCATCCATCCAGCCAGCCAGCACTGACTCAGCATCTATAATGTCCTAGGCTCTGCCTAGGCACTTCAGATGCAAAAGTAAATAAGCCAGGTCCCTAACCCCAAGAAGTATCCAGATGGACACAGTATCTCCCAAGCGGTTCTGAAAGCTCTTCACAGGTATTTGATGAGAAAAAGTGAGAGGAGATGATGGGCTTTGGTCAGATAGCTAGGGACTGTATTCTTTTCAAGAGTCACAAAGCACAGTAGTTTATTAAAGGCAGTAAAAGATGCTGCAGTTTAACACAAAGGGTGTTTATTTAAATCACTTTTTTTCTAACTAAGGATTCTCATTCCTTGTGTCACATTACCTATAGAACCTTAAAAATAAATAGGTGCCTGCTTATCCCCCTGCAGATGCTGATTCAGTGGATTCAGACAGGGATCTACCTCTTATATTTTTTCAAAAAATTGTAGATGATTTTCAAAAGTAGCCAGTGTTGACACCACTGCTAGAAGTTACCTGCTATAGAATTTCTTTTCATTTATTTGCAGCTTATGAAAAGAATACTGATGTTCTGCAAGACATCCTTTGGAGAATCCTACTTAGTGAAAAAACCCACACTATATTTTACAGCATCTTGAGAAACTACCAAAGTGAAAACTACCAAAGTGAAAGAAACATGCATTTTGGCTACACAGTGCACAGACATCAAATAATTACCATTTTCCAAAGCTTCAGCATTGGGCACCTCACTTTTATCAGTTTGATGTTGAGAGGAAATAGCTGCAAACTCAATGCTTCCAATATTCAAAATCCCAGCCAAAATTCTGTACACTGAGTGCACCTCCTGAAAAGGACAGCAAGAACCATGTTTGGTCACTGCCAATCAAACCAACAAACCACTAGCACTGCTAGCTGTCCACCAAAGTCCGTCATCCCCCCTTTCCTAGGCACACGAACAAATTTCCAAAGCTCCCTTGCAGTTAGGCAGTGGAACTCAATTCTCAACAAAGGAGCAAGTAGAAAGATGTGGGTGACTTCGGAGCCCAACCTTACAGAAGCAAGCATGCCTCCTCCATGCTTTCTTTCCCATTATTGCTGGCTGGACCTCCCAACAACCCAGCCTCAACTACACAGTTGACTAGGCTTCTTGAGACCAATGACTGCATGGAACAAAGTTGTTCTGCAACATGAACCTCTTACTTTGAAATGCTTCTGTAAGAGACAACTGATCTTCTTTGTTCTTTAAGCCACTTTTAGCCATTTATCCTAACTAATACCAGCACCCAAATTCAGGTATGTTCTTTCTTCGAAATAAGAGAGATGTATCTTTAACCACTTTTGAAAATAGCTTTTATGAAAAAGTTATCAGGACATTCACTGATGGTTCACTGAACATTTTGAAGTTAAATAATGGAGTATATAATTATGAATGACATCAGGAAATATTCTGACTCACTAGAAATTATCTGTGATATTGTGATATAATAAAAACATATATTTGGTCTTCATACCAATTTCTGGCACAAGAGCTAAACAACCTATGGAATTATGAGTAACAGGTGTTAAAGGAGTATCCTCTGTTATTCATAATAAGCCCCTCAACCGTAACTGAGTTTGTGCCAATGAGGTAACTCTTGGGGAATGGGGCTGGTTGCTAGAGAGACCACATATGTGATTAAAGGATTGGGATTTTTAGCTGAACCCTGGACTTCCAGGGAGGTGAGAAGGGCTGGAGATTGAGTTAATCACCAACTGACAGTAATTTAATCATCTATGCCTGTGTAATGGAGCCTCCATTAAAATCTCTGATGAGGTCCAGAACACTTTCAGCCTGTGAGAAGTGTAAGAGGAGGCAGTACCCCCTTTCCCATTACCCTGCCCTATGCATCTCTTCCACTTGGCTGTTCCTGAGTTGTATCCTTTATAATAAACCAGTAATACTCAGTAAACTGTTTTCCCAAGTTTTTTGAGTCCTATCCAATTATTAAACTCAAGTTTGGGGTATTGGGACCCTAAACCTCCCATTTTATAGCCACTTGGTCAGTGGATGAACCCTAGGACTTGCAGTTAGTGTCTGAAGTGGGGGCAATCTTGTGGAACTAAGCCCCTAACTTATGTGATCTGATGTTAACTCCAGGTAGACAGTATCAGAAGTGAACCGAATTGTAGGAGAATTGGTTGGTGTGAGGGGAAAAAAACTCCATGCCTTTGATGTCAGAAGTATTGTGAGCAAATACAGATCATCTGAGTCCTATTTTTATATTGAAAGTTAAATACATAAGTAGCATTAATGGTAAAAAATAAAGTGCATTTATTTATTTAAACATATGTATTTCCTGTAGGTAGGCAAATATATAGCCAGGAAATTTCTGCATCTTATGCTTATAGATAGAGAAAGGTACTTCCACAAAATATACTCAGGTAAGAAACCTGATTTAGTACTATACATAGCAGCAAACTAATAGGAACTGTCATTAGACCATTGATAAAGCATTATTCCCAAAGTGAGCCTTCCTCGGAACATTATTCAGTAAAGCCAACAACTGAACAGACTGTAATAGTGACATCTGCTGGATACCTGATAATGCTACAAAGACAAATGATTTTAAACCAGGCTTCTCCTATAGATATTGTTCTTCAAACTTCTAAATCAAAGGCAAGATATCATGTTTTTGATGTCAAAAATCACTGTTTTAATCACACAACTTAAGACTGGCTAAGGAGAACATCTACCAAAAGGGTTTTCTGGGATTAGTCTGGATTTAACATGACAGACCTCATTACCTTGATCAATACAATGTGAGGCTCGGAAATGCAACAAGCAAGCAACTTCCCAGAGGATAAACACAGACTCTATAGCAGTGAGTTCTGGATCTGTTATTTCTATGTCAAGTTATCTCAAAAAGTTACCTAAACTCTCAATACTCTTAGAAAAAAAATATTTCCTCTAACACACACACACACACACACATACACACACACTCTCCTATATGACACTATAAGCCATGAAACCTCCCAAAAGAGGGCTTCCAGGCATTTCACCACTAGGGGGATTATCCCCAAAAGAAATGGCAGTTCTCCCCTGGTTGTTTCTCTGGCAATATTCTCTTCAGCACAATGCTCAGACATTTCCTCTTTTAAAAAAGAACACTACCCATGACCTTCAGTGAAAACTTTGGGGTTCAAACACTGTGAATGACTGAAGCCAATGGTAGGCTGGGTCTCCTTCCTTGGGTCAGAAAGGGGAACTTGAGAAGGGTATCCAATGCTGACCTCATTGTGGAGGAATTAGACTTAGGGTGCTTTTTATGCTACATTTCTAGGCTATTCCACTTGACTCCTTTAGTCTTACCCTTGCATTATTAATTAGCTCTCTGGCCTAGGAACCTACATCCACCCTTATGTTCAAGTCAAAACATCACCCACATACAGTCATGATGGAAGATGATTAGTAGCATTTCATCTGTGGGGTTACACCTCTACCCACCCCCCGCCCACACCCCCAACCAGAACTTCTTGATCCAGTCTCTTTTCTCCCTACAGCTAGCCTGAGGATTATCACCTTCCTCACTTTGCTCATTTCCTCTTGCCCGATCTCCAGCTATGCACCTTTCCAGGCATCCCTGCCTTTGCTACCAAATCTTGCTATGATGCTCTTTTTATTTCTTATGTTTCTATTTTCTATATGATAAAACAAAATAACCTCATTCAGGACAGGAAATACTATCAAGAAGATTAATGACTCCTCCAGCTGGTTTCCCAATTCATTGTTGATGAGTATGAATTCGTTTTTACCACCAATCAGTAGAAGTGGGGAAGAAAGAGCCCTTCTCCATCAAAATCCCATGCAGGATGGTCTTTACTGTTTTTTTTTTTTTTAAGTTTTTATTTATTTATTTGACAGAGAGAGAGCACAAGCAGGGGGGGAGCGGCAGGCAGAGGGAGGGGGAGAAGCAGGCTCTCTGCTGAGGAGGGAGCCCGATGCGGGGCCCAATCCCAGGACCCCGAGATCATGACCTGAGCCACTCAGGTGCCCTTGCTTTCTCTTACTTTTTCTCAGAAGACACTCCTTTCACTGATGTAGGTATTCTCTCAATAAAGTTGAGGCTAAGTAGAAAATTGAAAAGGACCTTGGCTTTCTGTTAGCCTGGAGCTGATTAAGGAAGTTGCTCCTAGCTTGGTTCACAAGCATCTCATGATAGTTGTTTCCCTGGTAACTTCCCAGAAATTGACTTGCCCTCTCAGTATCTCTCTACCTTGTTTCCTTTCTGTAAGTCTCTAGTTTTTCACCAGTTCTGCCCTAAGCACCACATTAAGCCGAATTAAATGGTCTTCTCCCTTATGGGCTCCATCCCAACACCTTTCTTCAACTCCCTTTTCAGAGGCTTTTAATATTTGTATCTTGAAAGCCAATGATTGGTTTAAAAATATTTGAGGGGGGGTATATCAATCATACATCAATAAAGTAGTGTAAAAAAAGTCAATGGTAAGTCCTATTATCTGTCATTAAGACACTGGAAATCCCCAATTTACACTTTAACATATAACCCTTCAGTCTCTCTTCAGCAATACTCTCCCAAATTCATAATCTATCTTGAAGAAAGGGAAAAAATTTTGCCCTAATCTCAAAGCTTTCTCCCTAACATCTTCATCAAGGGATCTGCAGTAAATATCCAATGTTGACCATCATGCAGATAATCTGCCAAAAATGTTTTCATGTACTATTAAATATAAATATGTTATGATAATTCATATACCAGTAAGGCAAGCATAATATTAAACAGAAATAATATGGTTTGCTCAAAAAACAGGACTCCAAAAGTCTGGATCTTCATAATGGGGTTTTAGGTATAATCCCACCCCTGCCCAATCCCCTGCAAGGAACCATCATTGTTAGTGGAAGTCTCCTCCTACCAGGGAGGTTTCTTTACAATAAAGTCAGGGTCAAGTGTTCTTTCAGATACTTTTGGCTGGTGTCCCGGAATTAAAATTCATGCTCTTGAATCCACACTACGGTTTGCTACTCACAAAATTTTGCTATAGGAATTTGGGAGAATCTGAAGAATACTATGAAGATTCCTGCAGGGAACTAATGAAATTGTAAGAAAGAAGGGTGACCATAATTTTGATTAAATTGACCAGTTCATTTAAGATACATCAGCTATTTGGCATCTGTTCCCTGACGACATTCAACTGAATCTTTCCGATCTTAGTCAAACTACTTTGAGTTCATAAAGCGAATTGAGTGAATTCAGCAAAAACAGGTTGTCTACAGAGACACAGAGAAAGATATAACCAAAAAATTTAGGGTCAGGGAGATATGAGCCAGCCTCTTCCTTCCATTTCCAAGGTTGCTAACTGACATAAATTGGTTTACTTCCAGTATGAATTAATATGGGACATGGTGAACATATATGCATACACATTCTGGTTATTCATTTTACAGTCAAGATCAGGCAGAAATTAAGTATGTCTACCACTTTTTACATTTCTTTCTTTTCATATTTATTCATGAATTCATTCATTTCTACTCTATTTTCTACTTATTTCCATTTCTACTCTACTATTTTCTATAGTAGAGATGGCTTACTTCAAGGACACATACTTAGCATATTTAATTTTTGTTTTCAATTTTGTTATCTTAAAACAGCATCTGTTTGAGTGTTATTTGCAGTACATTTTTATTATTAGAACAGAGCCATCATACACCTTTTAAAGCTAGGACTAATCTCTTCACGGTATTCTAGAACTATCTTTACACTCATAGAAAGCAAAATTTTTTTTTTTAAGATTTTATTTATTTTAGAGAAAGAGAATGTGCATGTGCACAGGCAGGGAGAGGGGCAGAGGGGAGAGGGAGAGAATCTCAAGCAGACTCCGCACTGAGCACAGAGCCTGACATGGGGCTGGATATGATGACCCTGAGATCATGA